AGAGCCTACCCAAGCCTCGACTTAGGTCCATAAGGAATTATCAGTCGGTGTTGAACCTATCCGAGGAATTACCAACAGCGATTGAACCTGCCAGAGTCTTAATACCAGAACCCATAGTACCCCGAAGAAAACATTTTTCAGACGGTAACCAGTAGTAACAGTAATTCAGAGTTCATACAGATCATCAGTTCAGTCAACCAGTATCCAGAAATAATAAGTCGAGATATCATGCTTTATATTTCAGTAAATCTGGAATTAGATAAATCATACAGTATTCAAATCAGATCAAACATTGTATTTCAAATCAGAGAAAATAATCATGTGCACATGAGATTTCAAACATATATTTAAAACATTTATACTGCACACAAGGAATATACCTTGATAATAGGGTCAGTCTAGAAGATCTATCGAGTACCAGCTTCACTAGTCATTTCGACTGAACGAGAACCTAGGCCATAACAGAACAGGGTCATGTTCAAGATAATATTCTAAACAGAATAACTAACTGGGTTACAGAACTATACGAGTATTCACAGCCTCTCGTGGACGAGCAGATCGAAATGAATCGGGTCGAGCAGTGAAATAGTTAGGAGATCCCCGAGTACCTTTTTAACATATCATAACAATAATTAGTCCTTCACCATTCAGTTCAATTAACTGAATTAAAACACTTTGATAAATATACATTTTGCGGGTTTACGGGTCAATTCGTAGCCTTTCGGGTTTGAATTTTGCAAAACGGACTTTGGAATCAGACTCAGGACATCGAAAAACTTAAAATATAACTTTTCAAAAAATTTGTCTTTTTTGTCAATGTCAAAGTCAACGGGTTTGACTGATAATTTGGAGGCTTTCGGTTTTGAATTTGGAAAAACAAATTTCGGAATCAGACTCAGGACGTCGAAAAACATAAAATATGACTTTTCAAAAAACTTTACTTTTTGGTCAAAGTCAATGGTCGATCAACGATCAACGGGTCGGGCAGTCGGGTCAGACAGGTCGGGTCGGACGGGTTAACGGGTCGAAGTTGCCACACCCCATTTTTGAACCCCCTATGCGTGGGGGCACGTGAACAGTGCTAGGGTGACTAAAAAATTTCTAAAAATATTTTAGGCGATTTTAAGACACTTACCAAGCTCAGTTCAAAATTTTGAACGGAGTAGTTCTTGATTTCAACACGTCACAAAGTTTAACTTCTTCACTCCCTCACATGTCGGCGACGACGAAGACAAGGACTACATCGGTGGACTCAAAACGACAAAAGAAACACGATGGTGCACGAAGTGTCGAAAATGGAGCAACGGTCGGTGATGAATTGACGATTTTCACGGCAGTGGTGTTAAAAAAAGGTGAAACTTTGAGTCGAAACTCACAGCGTTGGACTATGTTTAGCTACGATCGGTTTACGATGTTTTATTTACAAGTTGATAATGAACACGATGGTGGTTTTGGATCGACGATCGGTGGACAGACGACATCGAAATCGGCTTTGGAAATAGGATGCGGAAGAGGAAATAATTGTGAATTTTGATTTTTGATTTTGCAAATAGAAACCAATTCACGCGCATATGAAGAAGTGTCTGCCAACACTATTGTGAAATCCAGGGCTTTGTCCCTGAATTTCATTCAACTTCTAAAATGGCCTACTTATTCTGGAAACTTTTAATGTGACCTCAAATTTCACCCAATTAATTAAAATTATATTTTTTTTCGGGTTGTTATAATTCTTCCTATCTAAAAGAAATATCGTCCTTGAAATTCATCATAATCGAATAGGAAATTGAGATTACTTCTCTGATAGATCCTTTACTGGACAAAGTTAATTTGACAATAACAGAAGATCTTAATAGACTCAGAGTAGAAATAGGGTCTCGGTGCCTTAATCCAAAGTCTTAGGGTCTTATGTTATGAAACTCAAGTGTAGAAAGGGTGTTGTTAGAAATGCATGGCATGAAACAGAAATAATAATAAATATACCTGCGGAAGTCTCGTGCTCAAATTTATCACAAGAACATTGAGTAGAGTAAACAAGAGCCGGCTGTCGAGCCTCAGAAGTAGTTGGTCTTCTACTATGTGATCAGTCTCTACTGTCGTCCCTAGAAACAGATCCGAAAGTCCTACCCTGACTATGACTAATATTTGGAGTCTGAACAGAGGCCTGAGAATGCATAGGAGTTTGAGCAGGTGTACGATCGACATGAGTTGGATATGAACGATCCCTAAGTAAGTGCTTACTAGATCCATAACGAAAACATGTACCCATCTTCTTACGACACTCTCCCCTGTGTCGATTTCCACAAAACTCGCAAATTGATTTCTGAGTGGAATATACATAATCCTCTCAACTAGCTACAATAGGTGGAGGAGATGCAGTCCTCGAATCAGACTGACTCATATGATGAAAAGCAGTACGAGATCTTTTATCAGGGCGTGCAAAAGGTGCAGACTGACCAGAAGGCTTCCTAGATCGATCTCGACCTACTCTATCACTGTCAGGTGCTGAAGCCTCGACTTCGTCTGCGTCTTTTTCTCTTCCAACTACAATATCGAATACCTCATCTTGATGAGTAACTACCTGATCACGCATCACGAATCGAAGTCCCTACACAAACTTTCGGCACCTATCTCTCTCAATAGGTATGAGACTGAATCCATACTTCAGCAATTTAAAGAACTCGATCTCATACTCATAAACGGTCATATCTCCTTGAACCAAGTCCTGAAACTATTGTCGTCTCTGAGCTAAATAACGTTCTCCTAGGAAGGGGCTCCTAAAGCGCTATCTAAAGAAATCCCAGGTCAAACGATCGGTCAGAACACTACTGACCACAGACTCCCACCAGGTGTGGGCATTCCCGTCCAACATATAAATTGCTCCTAAATAACGTCGACGCAAATCTAATCCTAACTGATCCATGCGTCGCTCAGTATCACTGAGCCAATCCTCGGCCTCAGTCGGGTCTTCACTAGTAAGGCCACTAAATGTCCTGACTCTATTTGCAATAAGGGTCTGAGAGATTGGAACCTCGGGTACAACGCCAGCAGCTCTGACAGCTCCCTGAATCAACTGAAGAAATTGTCTACCAAAATTCTCATTTAATACAACTCTGGTAGACTCGGGCTCAATACCAGCTGCTCCTCTTATCGGAGTATTCATGCGAATACCAGAGGCAGATTCGTAGAGGTCTTAGGAGTAGGATCATCTATCGGAGGTAGGGGATTTACACGTATCTCATCTACCGGGATTGTAAATCTAGTCAATCGACCTCGCCCACGGCTAGATCGACGTCCACTTCTAACACTCATCTTGGTGGATCTCAGATTTACTACAGAAGATAAAACCTAGGGTTATATTGGCACTTGGAGTCACGAACACAATTAAATCGTAAAAACTTTCTGACATGGCCTTAATGACTTGTTTTATAAAACATTTCAAAATCATATTTTTGGTTTGGACTCATTCACGGTCCAAGGTTTAAAAACCAAAAGCTCTGATACCAATTAAATGTAATCCCCTAGACCCAGCCTATGCGTTTCGAGTAAGTCTAGCGGATTACATTAAATATTATGAAAGGCATTTTTACTAAAACAATATTCGTTAATTTAAAATTATATTATAAAAAGCACTTGTAAAAGTATATAATAATTAACAATAAAAAACTCAATTCGTAAATATAAAAATGAAAGAGACTCGGTAAAATAAAACATGAAATAAAAATCTGAAGCATTGTAAATCAAATATCAGTAGCAAAACCAGTAAACATCATAAAACGATAAATACTTCACAAATAAGGCACATGTCGTCATAATTAAAAGCAGTTCAGAAGACAGAATATTACAACACAATGATCTGAAATAAATGTACCAATCCTCCAAGTTCCTAATACAGAGTGTCTATCTGAGAGTATCTGAAAGGGGGTAAAATAGTTTGAAAAGTGAGCTAGAGGCTCAGTGTGTCCCAACAGTGCATAAATAAAAACATAAAATTATGATTTTTAAAACTTGTATAGATCACATTCATTAAAACATCATAGGAGTTTTTAATTTAAAAACTCCCAATCGTCCTCAAACCGAACGCCTGGTGCAGTTCCCCAGAACTACACAACCTAAGGGAGTACCTTGGGGCCTACGAGCCTGCCCAAGACAATTCTCGGGGCCACAAAGGCTTACCCAGGAAAATCTCAGGGTCGTAGAGCCTACCCAAGGCTCGACTTAGGTCCATAGGGAATTATCAGTCGTTGCTGAACCTATCCGAGGAATTACCAACAGCGACTGAACCTGCCAGAGTCTTAATACCAGAACCTAGAGTACCCCGAAGAAAACATTTTTCAGACGGTAACCAGTAGTAACAGTAATTCATAGTTCATACAGATCATCAGTTCAGTCAACCAGTATCCAGAAATAATAAGTCGATATATCATGCTTTATATTTCAGTAAATCTGGAATTAGATAAATCATACAGTATTCAAATCAGATGAAACATTGTATTTCAAATCAGATCAAACATTGTATTTCAAAATAGAGAAAATAATCATGTGCACATGAGATTTCAAACATATATTTAAAATATTTATACTGCACACAAGGAATAATAGGCTCAGTCTGGAAGATCTATCGAGCACCAGCTTCACTAGTCTTTATGACTGAACGGGAACCTAGGCCGTAGCATAATAGGGTCATATTCAGGATAATATTCTAAACAGAATAACTAACTGGGTTACAGAACTATACGAGTATTCACAGCCTCTCGTGGACGAGCAGATCGAAATGAATCGGGTCGAGCAGTGAAACAGTTAGGAGATCTGCGAGTACCTTTTAACATATCATAACAATAATTAGTCCTTCACCATTCAGTTCAATTAACTGAATTAAAACACTTTGATAAATATACATTTTTCGGGTTTACGGGTCAATTTGGAGCCTTTCGGGTTTGAATTTGGTAAAACGGACTTTGGAATCAGACTCAGGACATCGAAAAACTTAAAATATAACTTTTCAAAAAAATTGTGTTTTTTATCAAAGTCAACGAGTTTGATTGATAATTTGGAGTCTTTCGATTTTGAATTTGGAAAAACGGACTTCGGAATCGGACTCAGGACGTCGAAAAACATAAAATATGACTTTTCAAAAAATTTAACTTTTTGGTCAAAGTCAACACTCAAAGTCAATGGTCGATCAATGGTCAACGGGTCAGGCAGTCGAGCCGGGTCAACGGGTCGAAGCTGCCACACCCTATTTTTGAACACCCTACGCGTGGGGGTGTGTGAACAGTGTCCGAAAAATTCTCGAAAATTTTCTAAAAATATTTTAAACGATTTTAAGACACTTACCAAGCTCGTTTCAAAATTTTGAATGGTGGAGTTCTCGATTTCAACACATCAGAAAGTTTAACTTCTTCACGTCCCTCATGCGCCACCGACGACGGAGACAAGGAGGACACCGGTTGACTCGGAACAACACAAGAAACACGATGGTGCACGAGGTGTCGAAAATGGAGCAACGATCGGTGATGATTTGACGATTTTCACGGCGGTGGTGTTAAAAAAAGGCGAAACTTTGAGTCAAAATTCACGGCGTTAGAGAACGTTTCGCTATGATCGGTTTACGAGGTTTTGTTCACCAGTTGACAATGAACATGATGGTGATTTCGGATCGACGATCAGTGGCCGGACGGCGTCGGAATCGGCTTTGGAAGTAGGGGTGCGGAAGAGGAAATATTTGTGAATTTTAATTTTTGATTTTGCAAACAGAAACCAATTCACGCACATATGAAGAAGTGTTTGTCCACACTAAATGGTGAAGTTCAAGGCTTGGTCCTTGAATTTCATTCAACTTCTAAAATGGCCTACTTATTTTGAAAAATTTTAATGTGACCCTCAAATTTCACCCAATTAATTTAAATTATAATAATTTTTTTGGGTTGTTACAGGTAGGGTTTTGAAATCAAGTAATCATTCAGGTTTCAGTTAGATCCTATCAGGTCAGGTCAAATCAAATACAAGTCAAGTTAGGTCAATTTGATGGTTCAACTCAGATCAAGTTGGGTCTATGTCAAATCAGTTCAGGTTTAGGCCAGGCTAATTTCAGTTCGAATCGATGTCAGTTAAGGTCAAAACGGATCTTACCCGATATGGATTAACTTCAGATGGAGTCATTTTTGGATTAATTATTTTTTGCCTTTCATGAACGTTGAATTGTAATTTGTAATTGTATATGATAAAAAGTAGATTATAAAAAATATATAATCATGGATCAATTTTAATAGAAAAATATAATTTTAAGGACTAAATTGAACAAACATGAAACTATAGACAAAAATTTAAATAAATTAAACAACACACATTAATGAGGGATCAAGTTGAAATAATTTTAAAATGTGAAGTTGAAATTAATATAAAAATGGACTAAATTGCATCCATTTAAAAGGTTGGTGAACAAAAGTTTATATGGTTTTGAGATAATAATATAATTTATAAAATTTGAAACGAAGTTTATTATGTGATTTATAGGGTATGATGTAAATTACAAAATTATAAATAAGTATGAGACAAATTCATATACTAATATAATTTTAATGACTAAATTGAAAAAATATGAAATTATAAATTAAATGTATATAAATTAAACAACACAAATAGAAATTGAAATAATTATTAAATACGAAGAAAATTTGTAAAATAGGTTTAATTACATTCATTTCAAAAGTTATATATATATATGTTTGATGAATGTTGTGATAATATGACACACACATTATATATATATAATGTACAAAATACCTATGCATACAATATAAGCATATACTTATAGAAGTATGTAATATGAGTATACATTATACTTATAATATATATATATATATAATATAAGTATATATACATATATAAGAATATATATAATATATAAGTGTGTAAATATATAAAGTATAAAGTATATAAACTATAAAACATATATATATATATAAAAGTGTGTATATATATGAAGTATAAAGCATGTAAACTATAAAATATAAGTATATAAACTATATAGTAAATATATATGCATGTATGTACATATGTATGATGCATGTATATACTTATATATATAAACTATATGTATGATCTAGCACGTCGCACCCATTTTTCATATGTCCCATAGTTCTTGAGACTTAAACATCTTTTTGAGACTCCAAAGAATGATATTTTTCACCCTTGAAAATTGGAATAAGTTGTGTTATTGGGTTGGTTTTGTCAAATACTAAATTTTTAAGCATAGAAACCTTATTATCTGATGCCACAAATATTGGTAAAATAGCCAAGAGAAAATGCTCAGAAATAAATAAATAACATCAACAAAAAATATTACTTCTTTCAATTTAGAAACATCATTGAGTATGTGGTTTAAATAATAATAGTACTAACTGAAAATACTCGAAATTAAGAAAATATACCCACAATCAAATTTGATGTCAAACATAACTGACCAAAAACAAATGCTATAACTCAGTAAACGAAAAAGAACATAATCCTATAACTCACTAACACTAATTGAAAACAAATGATCAAATAATAACCGCAAATGACATTTTTTAATCACCCTGTCAACAAAATGCAGGCAAATGGTCACACAAGAAATTGTAACACCAGCATTGATATTAATTTCGGTAAATGGGACAACAAAATGAAAGGGGAAGGTACAAAAACTTATGGTTCTCTTTTGGGAATGATGAAAACGAGATCAACCGCCTGTCAAAAACAGTGAAGATCATAAGGCAACGAGTCGATTGCCAGTTGAAAACAATGAAGATCATCTGGCAACGAGATCAACCACTAATTGAAAGCCATATCTCCATGATGGAACCATTTTCCATCTCTCTATTGTTGATGTTATCATCAATTATGTTGATGATTCCAAACATCAATTTGCTAATATCCTTTTCGTTCTCTCTGATGACTACCCTTTGTACAAAGGATAGACCACTAATTGCTAATATCCCACATATGGTTTCATAAAAGGTTTATGTTCTTAAATCATAGTAAAATAAGTAAAAGAAAAGATAACGCACAAAAGCAATTTTTGGTTTTAGGTGAGCAACTTTAACTGGACCGTTTGGTACACTACAAGATTTACGGGTGTGAAACTGAGTTATGCTGGGAATTAACCCATGGAACTCGTTTTGGGTTAAGCCAATATGGATGATGAGATGGTGAGCGACACGGCTTAGAGTCAAACTTTAAAGAGGAAGGCTTGAAAACCGATAACGATTATAGTTCTCTATCTAAAGATGGTATGTGGAGGAGAAACTACCGTATCGACTTTTTTTAATGACAGATAACAATGACTGTATTAATAGCGAGATAAAAGTTTAGTGATTGTATTATAAGTTTTAAAAGTATAATAACCGATATAAAAATATACTAAAATTTTGATGACCATTAATATAATTTATCTTATTTTTCTTGATATTTTAATATTTTTTTAATCAAAACTGGTTCGAATAAATAGTAAATACTTAATTTAATTTGATATTAAATATAAATAATATATACTTTTAATTAAATTTAATGTCATAAATTAATCAAGAATAAACTATACGTTTAATACAAAACCCATCAGTTTTAGTCTGTTTTAATATCTAAACTATCATTTTTTTCAAAATCATACCTACTATTTATTTTTTGTTTCATTTTAGTACTACGCCTTAAAAACTTAACCACATAATTGAAATGGGAATTTTTATTTTTTTAAATTTTAAAATCATCATTTATATTATTATTTAATCTTGCCTAGAAACCGGTAACAAGCTCCATCGGCCGTCGCATCTGTCGATCGATGAAGACCAAACTTTTCAACACTTACCTTTTCAAACCCTTGAATGTGATTCTGACATTTGTTTCATTGGGAATCGCTCAATCATCACAAATTGACAATGGACTCTTTAATATTTTCATCTTTTGATCTTTATGGTCCATAATTGGATTATGTTGGTCGACTCGTCATTCTCTCATGGTCTGTCGTTCAAATTGGTCATCCGTTTACCATAACTATCATCGTCATGAACCCGAAGGTTAACCCATTTTGTTTTTTTCCTTTGTTTTGCTGATTTTTGTTTCCATTTGTTCTTCAACTCTTCACTGTTGTCATTATCGAGCTATTATCGATCGTAACAGATACGAAATGATGGGAATTATTCTTTCCCTCATCTCTATTCTACTTCCAGGCTTCTTTCTTCTCTATTATGCTTGCCGACATTTGGTTATGGTTTGAGAGATATTAGGGTTGTGTTGATTAATTAAATAATAATATAAATAGTAATTTAAAAACTAAAAAATAAAATTTGTCACATTATCCAGTTCATTAAAATTTCAACGATGATATACAAAAATGAAAAAAAAAACGTTATGTGTGATTTTGGAGAAAATCAAAATTAAGACATTAAAAACAAACCAAAACTAATAGTTTAAGTATTAAACACATAGTTTATTTGTTAATCTAACATCAATTAATTTATGATTTAAAACAACAAAAAAACTCAATATATTTTTTTATTATAACCTAAAAAGAAAAGCTTATTGAGGTTTTTTTTTCTTTCTAAATCATAAATTAATTGATGTTATATTAGTGGGTAAACTACGAATAAAATGAAGGCTTAAAGTCGAACTTTAAAGATGAAGGCTTGGAAAGTGATAATGATTCTAATTCTCTATCTAAAGATTGTATGTGAAGGAAAATTTGTCACATCGATTTTTTTAATGACAGATGACGACAATGAATGTATTAGTAACGAGTTAAAAGTTTAGTGATTATGATATAAGTTTTAAAAGTTTAATGATTAAAATTCAAACATACTAAAAATTTGATGATCATTTATATAATTTATCTTATTTTCCATGATATTTCAATAATTTTTAATCAAAACTGATTCAAGTAAACGGTAAATACTTAATTTAATTTGGTATAAATATAAATAATATATACTTTTAATTAAATTTGATGTCATAAGTTAATAACTTAGCGACATAACTTACACGATAATTTTTAATTTTTTAACGTTAAATCATTATTTATATTAATATTTAATTATACTTAGAAAGCGATGAGAAGCTCCATCGATTGTCGCATACATCGGTCGATGAAGCTCAAACTTTCCAGCCCTCACCTTTTCTACCCCTGAACGTGATTCTAGCTTCATTTAATTGGGAATCACTCAATCTCTCCAGATCTACAATGGACTCTTCAATTTCTTCATCTTTTGATATCTATGGCCCATCGTTTGATGGACCAGAAATTAGACTATGTTGGTCAACTAGTCATTCTCTCGTAATTTATTGTTCTAATTGGTCGTCCATTCACCGAAATTATCACCGTCAGGAACCCAAAGGTTCACCCTGGTGACTTTTTTCTTTTCCTTAATTTTGCTGATTTTTTTTTCCTTTTGTTCTTCACTCTTCACTTTCTTCGTTCTCGAGTTATTACGGACCGTCATGGATACGAAACGCCGAGAATACTTCTTTCTCTCTTCTCTATTATACTTGCAAGCTTTCTCTCTTCTCTATTATTCTTGCCGACATTTTGTTATAGTATTAGAGATGTTAGGGTTATGTTGATTAATTAAATAATAATTTTAAAAATAATTAAAAAAATACTATATAAGCCCATCCGTTAAATTTTTAACGACAAGGTGTAAAAATGAAAAAAGTAAACGTTAGGTATGATTTTGAAAAAAATTAAAGTACTAAAACAGACAAAAACGAGTAGTTTAGATATTAAACAATTAGTTTTTCTATTAATCAAACATCAATTAATTTATGATTTAGTAAAACAAAAACTCAATAATTTTTAGGATAAATTATATAAATAGTCCCTAAACTTTTAGGACACTTACATTTTGGTCACCCAACTTTTGAAACCTTCAATATAATTACTAAACTTTTAGTTTATTTTCATTTTGGTCCTTGTAGTTTCCTCCCGTTACTTTTTACTGACGTGGCAAGTTAACTCTGTTTTCTTTTTCTTTTTCTTCTCCTCCTCCTAAAAAGTGGATATCAGCACTTTCAAACTTTTAACCTGTGATGTGTATGATTATTCAAACAGTAGACAAATCGGGGACTTTGTATCGGTGAGTACCCCTTATAAACTTGTGATAACATAATATTTTATAACCATTAGTCAAACAGCTAGAGGTTCTAACATTTTTGTTATCCGTGTAATCGATTCCCCAGGATTTATTATTTTCATTGCACTAGTTTGGTTTTTGCAAGAAAGGACAACAGTTCGGATTCTCCGCTATGTCATTCTCTTCATTGGTAGAGGCTCTCTATGGGAAAATCTGCTGTGCGACGTTTAAAAAATGGCGTGATTGGATAAACAAGTGACCGTTTAAAATATAGATCGGTTATGTTATATCATTTAACCGGAAATATTATCAAATATAATAATATATTAGGTAGCGCTTATATAATGTAATGGGTAGCGATTATATAATAAAATAGGTTACTTAATTTGTTATTATAACATATTAGGTAAACGCCTAAAATGTTACCAAGGATAACATAACCGATTAATTACCGGAAACATTATCAAGCACAATAACATATTAGGTAGCGCTTATATAACGTAATAGATAACGCTTATATAATAAAATATGTTAATTATTTAATTTGTTATTACAACATATTAGATAAACGCCTAAAATGTTACCAAGGATAACATAACCAGTTAATTACTGAAAACATTATCAAACACAATAACATATTAGGTAGTACTTATATAACGTAATAGATAGCGTTTATATAATAAAATAGGTTAATTACTTAATTTGTTATTACAACATATTAGGTAAACGCCTAAAATGTTACCAAGGATAACATAATCGGTTAATTACTGGAAATATTATTAAGCACAATAACATATTAGGTAGCGCTTATATAATAAAATAGGTTAATTACTTAATTTATTATTACAACATATTAGGTAAACGCCTAAAATGTTACCAAGAATAATATAACCGGTTAATTACTAGAAACATTATCAATTATAATAACATATTAGGTAGTGCTTATGTAACGTAATATGTTACGTATTATTAAAGCTGATAGGGCCTTAGAAATCTGAAGATAACAAAATAAGTAATTAATTACTTAATTTGTTATCAGTTATGATAAACTTACCTTAGGAATAAATGTTAACAAATTTTAAACTACCTATTACATTAAAATACCTACCGGTTTTTTTTAAAGTTGTTAATAATGTAAACGGTAAAAAAAATAGGCACTACTTATTACATTAAAATACCTACGTGTTTTTTTTAAGGTTGCTAATAATGTAAATGGTAAAAAAAATTGCGCTACTTATTAGATTAAAATACCTACCGGTTTTTTTGAAGGTTGCTAATAATGTAAACGGTAAAAAAATAGGCGCTACCTATTACATTAAACTATCTACCAGATATGTTGAAAGTATCGATTCCATTTAAATAAGTATCGACACTTTTGGAATTTAAAAGAAAAGCAGTAATAACGCCTATAAAGTATCGATACTTTATAAAAATGTATCGATATACATAACAATATAACATGTAAAAATATGACAAAACTAGTTTCATAATGACAAAATCGGTAAAGAGCTACCGAATATGTTAAAAGTATCGATACATTTTGTACATGTATCGATACTTTACAATATAACATGTAAAAATATGACAAAACCATTTTCATTATGACTAAACCGGTAAAGAGCTACCGGATATGTTGAAAGTATCGATATTTTATAAAAATGTATCGATACTTTACAATATAATTGGTAAAAATATAACAAAACCAGTTTCATTATGACAAAACTGGTAAAAAGCTACCGGATATGTTGAAAGTATCGATACTTTATAAAATTTATCGATACTTTACAATATAACAGGTAAAAATATGACAAAACCAGTTTTATTACAACAAAATCGATAAAGAGCTATCGGATATGTTGAAAGTATCGCTACTTTATAAAAATGTATCAGTACTTTACAATATAACAGGTAAAAATATGACAAAACTAGTTTCAATATGAAAAAACCGATAAAGAGCTACCGGATATGTTGAAAGTATCGATACTTTATAAAAAAAATGTATCGGTACTTTACAATATAACAGGTAAAAATATGACAAAACCAGTTTCATTATGAAAAAACCGGTAAAGAGGTACTGGATATGTTGAAAGTATCGATACTTTTTGTACATGTATCGATACTTTGTTGAAAGTTATGTAATTTATGTTTCAAAAATTTTTAATAGAGCTTCATGTTTTACACCTACAATATTAATTTAATAATTTCATTTACACAAAAAATTATTTGATTGATTTTATATTTTATAAAATATTATTTAGAATGTAAATTTAACAATTTTAACCAAAGATAATAATAAATATGTAATATCTATGTTTATTATTTTTAATTTAATAATAATATATACCGTAACATAAAAATAAATCATTAAAAACGTATAATTACTAAATTAATATCTTAAAACTCACTCAAAAAATAATCTTAAATTAATGTTTTCCACAGTGAAATAAGTATGGACACTTATATATATGTATCGATACTTACCGATAACCAAAGTTTACCGGTTACTAATTTTTTTAATAGATTTTCATGTTTTGTACCTACAACATTATTAGTCTGTTAAAATAATAGGTAGCGATAAACCAAATTTATTAAATATCTTTTAATGTATCCAGTAACATCGTATATTAATCGTATATTAATTTGTCTTTCCTGATACAACCCCTCTTGTTATACTTTCCTTTTCATTTACAAAGAATAATCTATTCTCTCGTCTCTTCAGTGAAAAGAATAATCTATTCTCTCGTCTCTTCAGTGAAAATAAGTGTTGCTTATTTCCTATTTTGGAAATTGCAGGTGTCATGAACTGTATGTTTTCAGTCCATGGTATGTATCAGCTGGTATAATAATTTTTTTTATATAAATTAATTTAAAAATAATTATGATTTTATTTTAAAATATTTAGATTTTTATTTAAATTGAAATTTTGGATTTTGGTTTAATTTTAAATTTGGAGTCTCCATCGACTTTTGTGTTAGGTTGATCGAACCAGTTTTAAATAGCGTTTGCGGTCACGTTTTCGGTCGCGTTTATCACAGTTGCGGATATAACGGATGTTATTACGGTCATTACGGATATCGCGATCATTAATTTTTTTCGAATGAGCTGATTTTTTTAATAAAAAATTGTTTTTTATAAAAATAAAATAACAGAATAATATGGGAATAGCGGTCCAGTATTGCTGCGATTGGCCGCAATCCATTAAATTGTGGCCGCGATCCACCGCTATTGGTGTGATCCCGCTTCACACCGTTATTTTCCGCGATAGCGGTTTTGGACACCGTTGCGACTGCTATATAACGGTCGCAACACCGCTATTCGGCCAGTATTGGAAACCCTGGATCGAACACCAAATAATATCTTTTAAAATCATTTTAAAGACAAAAATTAGGTCTGTGTATTACCAGAAATTCAATTTTAATGATTCGGGAGTCGATTACGCGTGTGGAATGATTAGCACCCTACAATGCCCAAAATTGATACCTCTTGATTATACGTTTTCCAAGAAGTGAAACTTTATATATTTGAATCCAAAATTTAAAATTGCCATCTTTTTATTTCGAATAATTTGAAAATGAGTGAATTTATTTTAAAAAATATATTTAACTCGATAGAAAATGATTTAATTCACTCCGCTTTAAAAAAGGATGTACTCTTCCTATGTGGATTAACGGAAATTGAGATCCAATTATGTTGGATGTAATTTCGTTAACACACGACACGAGACGACATAACCTTTGAATAATTAAAAACAAGTAAAATAGATGCATGATTTATAAAATGCAACAATAATAAATTATATGTACAAGATAAATGAAATATCATATATAATATGACAAATAAATAAATAAATGACACACACAATATTTAAATAATTGATCGGATGTTCCCTCTCTCGTATGTCTTTAAGGAATCTAACTCCATATATTTTTGGAGGTTTTCCCATGAACCGCTCTTTGTTCGGGATATTCCTCAAAAATATATATAACTTAATTTTTATGAAAATAATTTTATTATTTAAAAGATAAAAAAAGTATGTATACATATTTATAAAATGCATGTATAAAACAAATATAACATATACAATATATATTTCTTATATTAAAAAATATAGTAAGATATAAATACGTTAGTATATAACATATAAAAAATGAGATTCGCCCTGTATATGTACACGGCAAATATACCATTAATACAATGAGGTATAAAGCAAACCTAAGATATATATATTTATACTACACGTAACTTATATATGTATAAAATATAGTGACTAATATATTATTATTACTAGCCTATTACCACACATATAGTACATAAATTAAAAAAAAATTACAATACTTTCACACCTATAATATAAACATGACGAGAATAAAAAGAAATTAAAACCTAATTATGCAGGGATTAACCATAAAAGAAGCAAAGCAATGCAGATTAAATTTGTAATAAACCCATGAACTTTAAACATTAAATAAAAAACAATGACTAAAACAAATACGATACTAAATACAAGGTTCCAAACATAAATTAGACATGCATTTTCTACAAATGGAAATCAATGACTAAAACAAATATCTTGAAAAATTAGAAGCCAAATTTGAAAATCATCACAAATGTAGCAAAAAGGAAACAGGGACTGAAACATAAGTCAGGGAAAACAAACATGCTTGAAATAAGTAAAACCCAAATTCATTTTATGACTAAAATAAAAAGGGTTACAAATAGTGAGATTGTTATCGAGTACATAACCCCTAAAGTTTGGCATGGTTACCCTAATCCAAAACTACATCGTTTTAGGTGGAGTTTAAATACCCATTTATAACCTCCTTAAACCCCCTAAACCCCATTTTACTTTTTTTTTATTTCTCAAAAGAGAGAGAGGGGTTTCACAAACTCTCTCAACTATCCCCTCACCGCAGGCACGACCATTGTCCACCGATGTCCTCCACCACTGCTCATGATGGCCAGAGGAGAAACGAACACCCTAAAATGCTCCTATTTCCCTCCTTAACCCAAAACCAAAACCACTTTTTCCTAAATCTAAACCCAAATGCTCAGAACTAGCATTATACCTTTTGAAATTTTTAAAACCAGTGACCCTTTTGCTTTCCAGCTTTTGAACACGGTAAGACCTTTTGTCTTTTTTTTTTGGTTTCGTTTTAGTTCTTGGTTCTCTCTGTTTTCGGTTCAAAAAATGGATATGGTTTCT